GGGCGGGGAGGGGAGGGAGGGAAGCCGGGAAGCCTGCGGGGCTGCCCCAGCAGCTTGTCCCTGTGTCACATTGTCCTTCACTTTACAACTTGACTTCTGACTTCAGAAATCTGGGAAACTGGGACCTGCTACTGAGCCTCTGTGTCTCCAGGGTTCACTACGCGTCCTGCATGGCGTCTGCCCTGCCCATGTTGGCATCAGGGGGTGGCATCTGTGGTCCTGGGGTACTTTATTGCCTGGTGGCTTCCAGATGGAGGCTGAGGTGGGGAGTCACACCTAACCAGGTTCCCTCCTGCCTTGCGTCCCCAGTGTCCCTGTGCCACTGGTTCCACCCTCCTGGGTGGCATGTAAGGGGGTCCCCAGGTTGAGCCTAGTTCTCTCTACCTACTTCTCTCCCTCTACTCACACTCTCACCTCCGAGGACAGCTCTGTGACCCCTGAATCTACCTCCTGGATGTCACTGGTCCTGACCTGTCTCATCCCTTCCATTCTGCGAGCACAGTACCCATCACCTCCTCTTCCTTAGGGTTTGCCTAGTCTGCCTGGTTTGCTCTGGCCAGGATCACCTCGCCCCCTGACCTCTTCAGGTAACTACTGGGAGGAGCAGCAGCACTTGTGGGGATGTTCTTCCTGTCTTTGCCCAGCTGGCCTTTCTCTGAGGCCCTGCACCCCGCTGGATTGCCACTCTCACCTAGTCGGTTCCCATTCTGGAGGCCCTCCCCATGGCCACTCTTGTCTCTGTGCCTTTGCAGGTGACCTGCCCCTTTCCCTGTCCTTTCACCTTCTGCTATTTCCCACAGCATCCTGGGAGACCCCCTTTGGCCCCCACATTGCTGGGCCAGGAGACCTGGCCTTCTCTTGTGTCTCCCTCAGCCTGGAGCCTGGATAGCGGGCCTCTGACTGCTCTAGCCCAGGGTGTCCCTCAGCAAGGCTGGACCCAGAGGCTGGCTCCACTGGGGTAAGGGCATCTCAGGGAGAGAGAAGGCCCTGCAGGACCATGCAGAGGAGGCCCAAGGGCAGACCTGGCTCAAGTGGAGATGTGGTAGATCCTCACTGCAGGCTCCTCTGCTCCTGGCTCCTGGGTCAGAGCCAGGTCTGTACCGTGGCCAGAAAGGCCAGCCATCATCTTCCCCTGTCCTCAGGCTTTTGTGGAGCTGTGCTTTGCACCTGAGAGGCCTTTCTCCAACATCCTCCCCAAGCCCCTCTCTCGCCTTCTTCAAGCCCTTGCCCAGTGGCCTTTCTCTGAGGCCTGGTACCCCACCTGAATTGCCACTGTCCACAGTTGGTGGATTATCTCACGCCTCTGGAGGTCAGACCCAGGATGAGCTCCCCCCTGCTTCCCCTGTGGCTTCATGAGGCCCACCTGAGCCAGGATCATGTCCCTATTGTGAGGCCAGCTGATGGGTCACCAAATTCCAACTGCAACTTTGCTGGAACCTTGCTGTCACCTAACATATTCCAGGCTCTGGGATTCCTAAACATCTGTGGGGACCATTTTTCTGTCTGTCTCCCAATTGAGACTCAAGAAATTAACCTCGCATTCTGCTCAGCTCTTACCCTACCACACACATCAGACTGAAGCAGTATTTTTGGTCTCCTCCGTCTCTCTCACTAGGGTATCTGGCCTCTCTGATGGAAAGGGACCCTCAGCAGGTGCAGGGGATCAGCTGGTCACAGATCAGGCAGGGAGCAAATTGGCAGATTTATTGAGGCAGCAGCGGCATTGGGGAGTGGGAACGTGGGGAAGGGGAAGGGCCTTCTCCAGGTGCCTGAAGCGCAGGCCCTTCCCCGGCACTTGGAACTCAGGCTGGGTGCAGCCGCGAAGGCAGAGTAGGCCATAGGTCAGTCTGTCCGCAACCAGCAACCCTTCTCTTCCACCTCCTTGGTCACCACCAGCAGCACCTCACACAGGCCCTGGGCCAGGGCGGCTGCCAGGAAGGCTCTGGATGGGAGAAAGGGGAAACTGAGGCCCAGCCAGCACATTTAATTGGGGCAGAGCGGGATTCCAGCATCGAGGCCCCAGCCTCAGTCACTTCTGCCCTGGCTCACCTGACACCATCCTCATTCCCCAGGGCCTCGGGTGCTCGCAGCTTGGAGTCCAGGTTGTAGTAGACACCGTCCACCTGGCGCAGAGCCACCCAGTGCCGACGGCGCAGTGGCAGGGACAGAAGCCCCAGCGACACAGGTGAGGGCAGGTTCAGGATGAGCCCCAGTACCTGGGGCAGGGCCAGCTGGGACAGGGGCCTGGGGAGTGGGAAGGGGACGTGGGTCAGGCCTGCTCTGCCTGGCCTTGATGAGCTGGCCAAATGTTACCGAGGTTCTTGATGGTGTGGGCCTCTGTGGTCCCCAGTCCCCTGTTCCCTCTTACCCATCCATTTGTCCACCTATTCAAGCCTCCCAGCCAATCAGACCTCCACCATCCCACCAGCTCTACCCACCACCAATCTGTCCATTCATCCACATACCCAACAACTGAGTCTTCACCCCACCCGTCCTCCATGATGCATCCATCCTACCAGAACCCCAGCCACGGCCACCATCCCACCTGCTTATCTATTCTCCAGGCATTGAATCCCACCGAGCTACCCACCCTCCAAACCCCCCTCAACTACTAAATACCACCCACTGATCCGTCTCCTATTTATCCTGACGTCCTTTACCCACCAAAACCTCCCACCCATCCATCCAGTTACCAGCCACTTGTCAGAGACCCACTGCACGAGTGCTGTTCATCTTTAATTCACTCACCCAACCATCCATGCGCTCCCATTGCCTGGCACACTCAGCCTCTCACTCGCCCTCCTTTAATTTGCCTAGTGACCATCGTGTTGCCCGTCATCCTCTGCCAGCTTCTCCTGACCATCTGGCCTTCACCTTGTCCTTCACCCGCCTTCCAACCCGCCTGCTGCAGCACAGGCCTTGCAAACCTCCCTCATCCCACCCGGCCACACAGCACTGTGCTGCCAAGGCAGGACAGCATGCTGGGTCCTACCTCCTCCTGTCCCACCACACGGCAGCCAGGCCCAGCCCCTGCAGGGCGGCCATAATCACATTGACGTCATAGTTGCCAGTGCCCAGGAGGCTACGATGGGGGTTCAGTCGGGAATCTGGGGCCAACCTGGTGGTTGTGGGTGATCAGAGTCTGAGCTGGGATCCTGGAAAGGTCTCAACCTTCCCATGCATCACGAGGGTCCCAGGGCTTCCCCTCCGACTTCTCCTCTCTTCAACCCCAAGTTCTGTCCCTCCTGTCCTAACCCCCTCCCCCCACCCCGTTCCCAGGGCTCCAGCTCAGGCTTCTGACTCCTTCTACCTGGATCCCCACCCAGCCTCCAGCCGTCCCCTCCAGCCACCTCCCTCGTGGCCCAGAGCTGCCCCCATCCCTCCTCTGCTCTCAGCCCTGGACAGAGTCCCACCCAGCAGTTCCTTTCTGTGTCCTTCCAGAGCCACCTCAGATGTCACTACCTCTGAGGGAGTCTCCTGGCCTCCAGCTGGGCTTGGGGCTCTTGGGCTCCCCTAGTGAACCAAGCCCCCTGCATGAGGCCTGGCAGACCACTGTGTTCTGAGGCCTTCGCCTCTCACTCAGGGCTACCCGCCCTCCCTGCTCCCAGCCCTCCAGGCCTGTCTCCCCAGCAGAGCCCCACCTCTTCCACCCAGCATTTGTGGCCCTTCCCTGCCACCTGTCCCAGCTGCCTGCTGTTCCCCCCAGCTCTCCCCCGCCCAGGGCCCACCCTGCCACACGTCTCCCTCAGCCCTGCTCCTCTCCACAACTGTACCTTTGTTCCCTGTCTGGGCCCATGGCAGGCAGGGCAGGGGGGAGGAAATGAGTTTTGGGTTTCTGTGGGCCTGTTTTCCTTGTACCTCTCTTAAGGCAGGGCTGCTTTGGGCCCCCATCATGGCCTTGGCATGAAAGAGTAGATTAACCCCTATTTTTGAATGACAGAGGAGACAAAGGAATCCTATAACAATCAATCTGAGGATGCTGGGGAGCTGGGGGAGGGAGGCGGGACCATCCTTGGATATAAAGAGATCTCTCTGGGGTCACATGTTGGAAGAGGGCACTGTTGGAAGAGAGACTGGAGGTGAGGAGGCTGAGGAGAAGGCTGGGTGGAAGGTCCTGACAGCAGAGCTTGGGGCCAGATTTCGGGGCCAGAGGAGGGAAAGAAGGAGATATGGAGAAGTGATGCTTGAAATTTGAGGCAGGACATGAAGGCTGCCAAGAGGCAGGAGCCATGTTAGGTGGAAAGGACATGCAAAGTTCCAAAGGTATCACCATAGGGGAGCCCCTTCAGGGGCTGCGGAGATTCTGGCTTGAGGAGAACAGAGAGATGAAGCTGCAGAGGCAGGCAGGGACCAGAGCAGGCAGCGCCTTGGGTATCAGGCCAAGGGGACACTCCTCAAAGAAAGGCTGGGGAGCCAGAGGACTAGGAGCAGGGGAGGGGCAGGGTCAGCTCGGAGGCTAGGTGTAGAATGTACTAGAGGACTAAAACTGGCCACTGAGAGTCTGTGATAAGAGAGGGTGAGGCCTAGCTGGGCTGAGACGCAGGGACTGATGGGTGGAAGAAGCAGCAGCTCCATGCCTAGTCCCAGGCTCCAGTTCAGGCAGCTAAAGGAGCATATCTGGGCCCCACAGTGAATCCCAGGTGGGCTGTTCTGCCTCTCTGAGCCGGCCTGGAGAGAGTCAGGGCAGGTGACAGTCACCTCTTGCAGATCTCATCGGCAGCCTCCTGGCTAAAGAGCTGCTGCTGCAGGACGTTGTTGAGGGCGTGGACTGCGCACAGCTCCAGGCGCTGCCGTTCATGGTACACGGAGGGTGGGCTGGGTTGTGCTCCTGGGGCCTGGGACATGCTGTCCTCAGCTCCTGCTAAGGTTGGGAGGGGAGAAGGTGCTCAGGGGCCCAGGATCTAGAGGGCCAACCTCAGAGGTCCAAATTCCAGCAGGCCCCCTGGGCACGGAGATTAAGGCCAGGCTGGGAGTAGCCTGGGAGGACACTGGGTACCTGACCCTGTTCCCTGGGCCGTCTTCTGGCAACAGAGGCGATTCTTACAAAAAAATTAAAAAGTCTCTCTTCTGCTCACCTGGCAAGAGAGAACCACTCCTGCCATGTCTGTAAGTAAAAGGGTCCCTATCATTGTCACCTAGCAACAGAGGATCCCCTCTTCCCTGTTCCTAGGTTACAGGAGCACTCTCTGGTTACCTAGCAACAGATGATCTCCCCCATACACAAGGTATCAAAGTCCCTCCTCTGATTACCTAGCAATAGAGGAATTCTCTCCTCTCCTCTCCTCCCCTGTCTCTAGGTAACAGGGTCCTTCTGGGTTGCCTAGCAACAGAAGACTCCCCTTCCCCAGTCATTAAACAAGGTCCTCTCCTCTGTCACCTGGCAACAGGGACCCCTCCCCAGTCACTAAGCAACAGGACCTCCTTTTTCTATCACATGGCAAACAGGCCCCCTCCCCGGACACCAAATAATTACAGCCCTTTCCCCGACCCGTACCCCAACCGCGGCGCTCGCCCTTCGCCTGGCAACGCCCCTCACCCCGCCTGCCTCTCCGTTCCCCCGTGCCAGGGGTTCCCGCATCCCCCTGGGCGGCGGCTCTAGGCTCCGAGTGCAAGGCGGCGGCACGGCGCTGACTGGACAGGCGGGACGGACTACAGCTCCCAGCGATACCCGCGCTTCGGACTACGATTTCCGGCGGCCCCCGCGAAACTCTCCGCACGGAATATCCAGGCTGCGTGGCCCGGAAGTGTACTATCACCCGTTAAAAAACAGGTCTACAACTTCCGTCGGTCCCTGCGGCACATGCCGGAAATGTGTCTCGGAAGGTGACCCCTCCCGTTTTCCCACGCCCACTATTACCCAGAGGCTTCTGGGAAATGTAGTGCGTAAGCTTTCGCGATAGTTTCCAGGGGGTTTGTTGAGGTGTGGGCCCGCCTATTGCTATGGCGTCAAATGTACAATGTGCAGACGTAGTGGCGTCACAGAGGGAATCACGGAAGCAGACGATGGACAGATCTAGAAAAGTCTCTGGTTTACTGAGACAGTAGGGAGTCCTGGGAAAGTGCGGCCGGGACAAGAGTGGGGCAGAGGTGGTGGAGACATCAGTCAGACAAGATGTCCTCAAGGGTGAAAGAGGCTTCTCAGCAGAGATGGATCCCAGGCCTGGAGGGAAGCTGGCAGCATCCTGCAGGGAGAGGGGGGAAGATGGACAATGAAAGATCACTGAAGGAAAAGAGCGAGGGAAAGACGGAGAGAAGAAACCTACGCTTGGGGGTGGGGCAGAAAAGTGAAGGGACTACCAGCGTGGAAGGAACATGAAGAAGGAGGACAACCCAGAGAGTTTTGGGGTGTGGACACCTGGGTAGACTGGCTTGGGGTGTGAACAGATAGCGACGCAGAGACAGAGACTTGTGGTAAGGACAGATAGAGACTTACTTGGGGTGTGGATAGAGAGATGATTGGGGTATGGACAGAGGCCTTCAGAAGGTGGGACAGGGACTCAGAGGGGACATGGACAGAGATGGAGACATATACAAAAATTCAAGTTGTGGAGTGGAACGATTAAGAAGATTCAGAAATAAAGACTCACAGAGAGAAGCAAAACTTAGAACCAGAGCCCAAGACCCCAGCCTCTGTGAACAAGCACCCAGAGCCCAGGGAGAGGGGCCACTAGCACGGAGGAGGGTCTAGCCTCACCCAGGAGGCTGCGCCAGAAGGCTGTGACAGTGGCGGAGCCAGTCACAGCGCCCGGCTCAGCAGGGTTCTCTCGGTGGGTGTGAACAGCAAAGCTTCGGCCTGAGGGGCCTGGGGGACCTTTCAGCTCCACGTCCACAACGTGTAGGTCTGTGAGGCTGCAGGAAGCAGGGCAGTCAGTCTGGCTGGCGGGGACCCAGACCAAACCCCTGCTCATTTTGGCTCACCTGAGATCTGCCACAAGCACCCCGATCACATGGTCAAAGCCCAGGCTAGGGGCAGCTAGGGCAGCGGCTGCCATGGTGTTGGAGTTTCGAGGGGCAAATGGGCAGAGGCCACGGACAGGACCTTCATAGAGCACAGTGCGAGGCCCAGTGATGTGGGCTGAAGCCAGGGGTCCCAGGAGCCGGAAGCCATCCGGGTGTGTGGCCATAGTGACACGGAGGCTCTGGAAGCAACAGCTGGGGTCAGGGGGACTGGGGTCTTTGCAAGCCCCTACTCATCCCTGGGGATCCCAGTGAGTCCTCACCTGGAGGCCTCCAGCTGCATCCAATCTGCTGATGTCCTCAGTCCCCCATAGAGCCCCTCGGGCCACAAACACAGCATGGTTCCAGCGGTGTGAGGCCCCCAGGAGCTGCCTCTCTGTGGTCTGGTTAGCTAGGGCTGAGGGGGACCCCACCTGGGGTGGACGAAGGTAGGGAGGGTTGAGTTCAGGGGACAGATGGCTGAAGGGGTCAGGGCTTGGGTGTGGGTTTAGAGGACTCACCAGGAGGTTGGCATGGCGCAAGATTTGTGCCCCAGATTCATGGATTATTTGGGGATGGGCCACTTCTACCACAAGATCAGGGTGCCTGGAAGAGGGGAGAGATGGGGGCCCTTGGGGAGTAGTTAGGCCTCCCCTCCCCAGGTTCTCTCAGAGTCTGTGGAGGGCTGTCAGTCTCCCTGGCCTGGGCTGGGTGTGCTTGTTACTTTTCATGTTGGAGTGACCCAAGGCCCAGGGAGGGTCAGGGACTTGCCTGACATCAGACACAGCTCAGAAAGGCCAGAACAGGAGCATGAGGACGCCCCACTCTCACTGAAGGCCACTGACCTTTCCCCAAGGGCAGCAAGATCCTGGAGCTGCAGAGAAGAGGGCACACTCCCTGCCATGCGTCCTGGGTCACGATTCCAAACAAAAACAAGTTCTAGGCCCAGTTCGGGTCCCTGATCCAGAAGGTGGGAGACAAGGGATTGTCCTGCGGAGAGGGAAAGGAGAGGGCTAGAGACCTAGAGATAGAGAGATGAGGGCCAGAAGAAGAGTGGGGACAGAGACACACAGAGAAGGGACAGATTCAGAGAGAGAGAGAGAGAGAGGAGGGGGGAGAGGGAGGGAGGGAGGGGGAGGAAGGATGGACAGGTCCAGAGAGACAGACATAGATGGACAGAGATAGAGGGGGACAGAGAGTCCTACAGAGAAAGGGGAACATCCCCAGAGAGCAGCGATAGAGGCCCAGATGGGAACAGACGGAGAAAGGGACTGGGAAGGCACTGGGTAGGTGGACACAGATAAAAAATGTGTTTGTGGTGGTTTTGGGAAGGGTCCTGAGGAAGGAGCCCAAGATGATAAACGACTCACCAAGGCGGCCATAGCCCACCACCCCCACCTTCCAAGGGGCCTTATCCAGGGCCATGCCCTTGAGTCTGGCTGGCTGTGGCAGGAGCTCCTTGTGCTGCCTACTGCCCAGCTGGCCTGGGCAGCTGCTGATCTTTGGACAGTTGACCCTTGTCCCTTTCCTGAGCCTCCTGCACAGTGGG